GAACAGTGTGAAGACGACTCCAGAATAGAATTATGTCGACTCCGTTAGCTTCGTTGGGTGATTTTGGGCTTAGGGGCGTGTCCGGATTGTGTTTTGGAGGTCCGTAGCTCATTTAGGCTTGAAATGGCAAAAGTCAAATTTTTGGAGTTTTGGGCCGGAAGTGGAATTTTTGATTTCGGGGTCGGAATCCAATTTCGAAAGTTGGAGTAGGTACGTAGTGTTGAATATGACTTATGTGAAAAATTTGGGATCAATTGGATGTGGTATGGTTGGTTTTGGCATCGGTTGTCGAATTTGGAAGTTTCAAGTTCATTAGGTTTGGATTGGAGGATGAATTGTGTTTTTAGAGTTGTTTGATGTGATTTGAGGGCTAGACTAAGTTTGTATGGTGTTTTAGGATTGGTTGGTATATTTGGTTGAGGTCTCGGGGGCCTCGGGTGTCTTTCGGATGCTCAACGGATTGAAAATTGGACTTAGGCCATTGCTGAAGATTTTCTGGTGCTGGTGTAATCGCACCTACGGAGAGGTCACCGCAGGTGCGAGCCCGTAGAAGCGGGACTTGGAGCGCAGAAGCGAAATCGAAAAGCCCAGGCCGAGATCGCAGGTGCGAGGTTATTTCCGCATCTGCGATGCCCGCAGATGCGAGGAAGGAATCGCAGATGCGGTGAAGGACCACAGGAGCGGAAGAGATTCCGCAGGAGCGGGCGCGCAGGTGCGGCCCATTGCTCGTAGAAGAGGGACTTGAGGACTTAAGTTCCGCACCTACGATGGAATTTTCGCAGGTGCAGCGCCGCAGGTGTGAAGAGAGGTCCGCATATGCGGTTTGACTAGCAGAAAAAGGGGGGAAATCGAGGGTTTGATTCATTTCACCATTTTTGGACTTGGGAGATCGAGATTTGGCGATTCTTTCAGGGATTTTCAGAGAGAGCGTTGGGGTAACGATTCCTTACTCGATTTTGGTTGCATTTCATTAATCTATTGTTGTTTTCTTCATTTAATCAAGGAATTTGAGTGAGGAAGTTGGGGAAATGGGGAAAAAGTTCCCCAACCGAATTTATGAGTTTTGAGTGAGATTTTGACATCGGATTTGGATAATTTTGGTACGAGTGAACTCGTGACTGAATGAGTGTTCATAATTTGTAACGTTTACCCGATTCCGGGACGTGGGCCCTGGGAGGCTTTTTGGGCGTTTTTCTAATTTCTTGCCTTAGCTTTGATTTTTGTTAGCTAGATTAGTTTCTTGTAGCTATATTTTCTTATTTAATTGGTTTTGGCTAGATTTGAGCCATTTATAGTCGAATATTCGTGGAAAGAGCATTGTTTCGGATTGATTGAGCTTGGTTCGAGGTAAGTGGCTTGCCTAACCTTGTGTGGGGGAACTCCCTTTAGGATATGGTACTGTTTGATGCTTGAGCGCCGAGTACGTGAGGTGACGTTTCACTAAGTCATAACCTGCTTTCTCCTTGTTATATGTACTATCCTGTTTAGATTAGGAAAGCATGCCTACGTGTTTTAACTGTCTATTTGAACTCGATGCAGCATGTTTAGTGAAATAACCTGCCCTCCTTGATTTGAACTTAGTCTAAACTGTAGGTTTTCTTGCTGTAACTGTTGTTTATATTGGGTTGAGCTACATATTTACTTTGGGACTGCGAAACGGTATTCTAGGAGATCCCCCTACACCGCATATTTACTTTGGGACTACAGAATGGTATTCCGGGAGATCCCCCTGCACTGTATGGGACTACAGAACGGTATTTCGGGAGATCCCCGTGTATTGCATTTACGTTTGGGACTACAGGACGGTATCCTGGGAGATCCCCTGTTGTTATTTCTGTGTACCAAGCCTTTGACTTTTACGATTTCATTCTTGTTTAGTTTTAGTCTTTATTTTATAATGATATTTCATTTCTGCCTTATCTTATTATATATTTTTCAGTAGGGCCCTAACCTGACCTTGTCACTACTCGACCGAGGATAGTCTTGGCACTTACTGGGTACCATTGTGGTGTACTCATGCCCTTTCCTGCACATATTTTCCGTGTGCAGATCCAGGTACTAGCTATTAGCCTCGAGTCTAGTTGCGTGGTTGCTGCTTCAGGAGACTTCAAGGTACATCTGCCGCGTCCGCAGACCTCGGAGTCCCCTTCTATCTCCTTGTGTTGGTTTCCCCCTTGTTTCCTTCAGACATAAATGTATAGAGCAGTTAGAAACTCTTAGAAGCTTGTGACATTGCGACATTCCGGGTTTTGGGAAAAGATGATTATTGTTTATGCTGAGTGGCACCGTTTCTGCTTATTAACTATATTTGTTAGCTGTTATCTTTGTGTTTTCATTTCATTTCCGCATTAAAGGGAAATGACAAATACTCGAGAAGGAAAATACTTACGGGATGCGTTCCACTTTTCTGGGAATGGTAGAAATTCGGAGAAGATGAGGTCTTCGGTTTTCACCCGAACGAACCTCCCATGCATGCCTCGATCTTGGTCCTCACCGATGCTTGAGAACGGAGCCTTGCTCGCTCGGCGAACGAGCTTGATTAACCCCCCTCGGAAGATTCGGGGATTGTATAGACTAAGCAGATGGTCGAGAGTGAACTCAGGTGCTTCGGTGTTGTTCACAAAGTGTCGAAGGAGGATTATGATCCTCCAAAAGAATGGGTGAATCTGCCCAAGGCAGACCTCGTACCTTTTACAAAAGTCAAGAACTACGGGGTCCACCGGGGCAAGCGTGAAGGGGTAAGTGTAAACACTTAAGTACCCCTTCACGTGAGCAGTAATATCATCGTCAGGCCCGTGGACGACCACCTCCTTACCCTCCCAGTTACAGTCCACTTGAACTGTGGGTAGTATTTCCTCAGTAACGGAGCATATGTATCTCCATGCTCCTTCGCCTCGATCCTATTGACAAGAGGCTTTCTCGACATTAAAATAGTAACCAATAGAGTAGCCCCCAGGTATGAAGCCTTCAAACGGGGTCCTGGGCCACCTCAGGAATGGTCGCCTCGGCATCTGCGTCCGGGTTGGAAGATGAAGGAGCGGTTTGCTGCGGCACGAATTTGGAAGTTTTTGCCATTGGAATCTGGGAGATATGAAGGTCTGAAGGAAAAATATGAAGGTTTGAAGATGAGATGAAGATATGAAGGTCTGGATAGAAGATTCAAAGAGAATAAGTAAGAAGATATTAAGTCCAAAGGAACAATGTATGAAGATTGAAAGGAGTTGAACGGCAAGTAGAGAATTCGAGGGTAAGTCTAAGAGTTCTGGGGTCGGCAAGTAGAAAAGTAAAAAAAGGGTCGGATCTTTTATAGAGGAAGGATAATCAATGCGCGACGTTTCACATTCAAGGATAGTCAACCGGCGGTTGACACATGTCCGAAGTCAGAACAACGCGACTGATGGGATGTTTCGTTGACCCATCATCTCGATTGTAACGCACAAAGGAAGGAACCGAGGTTCATTTATCGCTTTCCGTCGTTTTGGTAAACCTACTCTTCAGAAAACAAGGGGACTATCTGTGTACGGGTAATATCGGGGGATAATGTCTACCTTGATTTTTCGATGAGAAAATGGAGGGGGAGCACGAATGCATGAGATTGTAATCGAGGTTCGAGACCCTTCGTATCAAGATCCGGGAAGAGTGAACGATGTGTCCGCCATCGGGTACGATAAAGCAATACGCCCAGGGCCAAAAATAAGTTCTAAGACCTCGGGAGACCTGGTGAACGGTTATGCATGACGGGTAGAGAGCTGCGATACTCGCTCTCAACCGGATATCACGGCGCGAATTTCGCTCGATGTTGATTATGGATCAATAATTACCGTGAAAGGAAGATTTTTTAACTTTTTTAGACTTATACTAAGGTTGAAACTCTCCTACTATATAAAGGAAAAATTTTTCTTTTGTATCACACATTGTAATACGTGAATCAAGGCAATACAAGTTTATTTTCTGTTTTTTAGCTATTGTTAAAGTTTTGCTCATTTGTTCTGTTCTTCATTCACGACTGGGCTTGAATCGAGGGTCCAACCGAGGACGAGGTCAGTGGCGAAGTTGACCACCCTTCGTCGAAAAATTGTACTATGTATATAGGTAAAATATTACATTTTAGAGGTATATAACACATATTGAACACCCTTTGTCGGAATTTTTTTCACTTGTTTTAAATTTGAACACCCTTGAAAAAATTTCTAGCTTCGCCACTGGACGAGGTCATTAGTCAGTCTAAATTCAGGCTTGGCCATAATATTGTAATTGGTTTGAATGTTTATTTCATTTCTAACTTATTTATTTGATATTCTTAATTGTTCTTGTTAAATCAAACCATATATCTTTAAAATCGTGTATAAATTTAATTGTTACCCAATTTAGGGAAAAATTCAAAAATAGCCAGATTTACAACTGGTCGTTCAAAAATAGCCCAGTTTCAAAAGTAATCGAAATTTAGTCACTTTTCATGTAAAGATAAATCTGAACGAAAACACTGTTCAAAACCCGGAAAAATACGCCAGTATATTATGCTGGAGTTCCAGCATAAGTATACTTGAACTCCAGCATATTATACTGGAGTTCCAAGATAAGTATGCTGGAACTCCAGCATAATATGATGGAGTTCCAGCATAACTACACTAGAACTCCAGCATAATATACTGGAGTTTGGAGCACCGGTGCTTCAGTCTCCAGTATATTATACTGGAGCCAACAAAGTATACCGGTCCAGCATAATATGCTGGAGTTCATACACAGGTGCAACGAACTCCAGTATATTATGCTGGACCGGTCTCTGCTACAGCAAAATAGTGGTTATTTTTCATTGACTTGGTAAACGCTGGCTATTTCTGAATGACCAGTCCGAAAACTGGCTATACCGTGCTATTTTGACCCCAATTTAGGGTAAACAATTATACTTTTAAAATCATCGCTAGGAATTTAATATTTATTGAACTTTAGTGCAATATAATTATTGTGTGTTGAAAATACTAGATCCAGTTAAATAGCTCCATCCGCCTCTGGTTTTGTTGACCTGACGTGAAAACGGCATGATGAGAAGACTAACTTGTCATTGAGTGACACAATGTGACATTAATTACTCTTTCCCTCACTATAGTTTACAAGTCAACTCATTCAACGCAAGAACCGGAGAAATCTTTATTCAAAAGCTTTTTTGATTATTGGGTGTCTTTATTTATGAATCATTTGGGCCATCCAGCTCACTCTTGGATCTAATTATCTTTCCTTCTTTTCTTCTTTAGCTTGACGTCTTAGCACAGCAATTCTGCTGAGTTTTGGGAACCAAATAAACACTTTCGAATTCAAGTATGTACTATACCCTTTTTGTATCTCTCTCTTGGTTTAGATCTTAACCTGCTTGTCAGTTTTCAAGTTATTTAAAGTTTTTTTTTTATCGAACGATTACCATGCAGAAATTTTGTAATTTGAGCTTTTCAAACGATTAGCAATTGATTGAGTGTTTATAGTTTTGAACCTGCTAAACTTCTAATTTGCAGTATGCAGAAAGACATGGGAGAAGTTTCTGGAGAAGATGATTTGTATACGAAAGATGGAACAGTTGATTACCGCAATAATCCAGCTAAGAAGACTGAAACTGGGACTTGGAAAGCCTGCCCTTTCATTTTAGGTACTCATGCTCGACATTCTTAATTTTTTTTTCTTTTCCATTTTTCCTCCTTTAGAACATTATTATTTCATGGATTAACTTGTATGTTCTGGCAGAGTAAAAACAATTTATATTCAAAGTAATTTAACATGTTTTAGCGGGTAACCTGTCTTATTATTTCTTATTGATTGTTTGCTACTATGTTGTATCAATCATGGAATTGTCAATTTTATTGTTTTATTCTGGGATTACTCTGGCAGGTATAAGTTATCCCAATACTATTTTTAATCCTGAGTTGACTTATCCCAGGCCTAGTAACCAAACAAGGGATAATGCGGTACTAATTTTTATCCTAGGATTATTTTTGCTTATCCGTCATATGAAACGACCCCTTCGTATTTAATAGGTTTATGGTTAGTAATTTAGAAAGGGAATATTTGTTGGCAGGAAACGAGTGTTGTGAAAGATTGGCATACTATGGGATGAGCACAAATCTTGTTTTGTATTTCAAGAAAAGGCTCAACCAACACAGTGCTACAGCTTCAAAGAATGTGTCAAATTGGTCCGGAACATGCTACATCACACCACTAATTGGAGCATTTCTAGCAGATGCATATCTAGGAAGATACTGGACAATTGCCTGCTTCTCAATCATCTATGTAATTGTAAGTTTTATATCTGTTGAAGTACATTAGCTCTTCACTAGACTCTGTAACTTGTTTGTGTTGAATTGTGTGATCACCTCCTTTAGAAGTTTAAGCGGGTAGAGACAATCTAGTTTCATTTACTGAATTACGTTTCAATACGCCCCTTACGTGCAGGCCAATTTTTTTTTCATGGGTCAAGCACGTGGAACTTTTTTCTTCTTTTTCTAGCAGTGACTTGAACCTAGGACTTTTGTCTGATTTGATACTATATTGTATTGTGTAACCACCTTTTCTAAAAGCTTAAATGGCTAGAGAGAACACACTTTTATTTATGGTGGAAACTGACAAGAAAAACTTGGTGCAATGTAAACATGTTACACACACAAAACATGTAAAGGATGAATAAGCAGGGGGAAAATGAATTTTTTGGAGCCTATGCCAAAGTGCTACCTTTAACTTGCTGAGTTATAATTGATTCTCATCAACTTAAAGGATGAAAGAATAAATAAATAAATAAATAAATAAATGTTTAAAACCACAGTCTCAGCTTAAATTCCTTTTATGGGGAACTTAGAAGCATAAATATATGTTTCTTGCAGGGGATGACTCTGTTGACATTGTCAGCTTCTGTCCCAGGCCTAAAGCCAAGCAGTGATCCAAAGGAAGTGCAAACTGCAGTTTGCTTTGTTGCACTTTACCTCATAGCATTGGGCACTGGTGGGATTAAGCCTTGCGTTTCATCTTATGGGGCGGATCAGTTTGATGATGTTGATGAAGTTGAGAAGAAACACAAGTCATCTTTCTTTAATTGGTTCTATTTTTCGATTAATATCGGTGCTCTTATTGCTTCTTCAGTGCTGGTCTGGATACAAGACAATGTGGGCTGGGGCTGGGGTTTTGGAATTCCAGCAGTGACTATGGCCATTGCTGTAGTGAGCTTCTTTTCAGGTACCCGATTGTATCGCAACCAAAAACCTGGAGGGAGCCCCCTGACTCGCATATGTCAAGTGGTTGTTGCGTCCTTCAGAAAATTTAAAGTTGATGTGCCTGGAGACAAAACTTCCTTGTATGAGACAACAGATGCTGAGTCTGCAATCACAGGGAGTCGCAAGCTTGATCATACGCAAGACCTTCGGTGAGCAACTGTTGATATCCTTGAAGCTTTCCATAATTATTTTTGATGTAATGCATTTGCCCAAAAAACTAGTGACTGTCTAGGAATGAGAAAAATTATTAACATGATCATCTTTATTACAGTGAATGGTTCAGTATTCTAGTGATACTTTACCTGGACCTGGTTCATATGTACACAGCCCACTGACTTGTTGGACCAATTTTTGTGCTGTCCATGTTGATTAATGTTGAATTCTATCAACTTTTTTCGGCATTTTTAACGGTTCTCCTATTTTCCATGATGAAACAAATGATTTACAACTGATGTTATCATGCAGTTTCTTCGACAAGGCAGCAGTGCAGACAGAATCTGACCATATGAAAGGCAATATAGACCAGTGGAGACTTTGCACTGTGACCCAAGTTGAGGAGCTCAAAGCCATTATACGATTGCTACCTATATGGGCCACGGGTATCATATTTAGTGCTGTATACAGTCAAATGAGTACCATGTTTGTGTTGCAAGGAGCGTCCATGGACACTCGCGTAGGAAATTCCAGCTTCAAGATTCCACCAGCATCACTTAGCATTTTCGACACTCTCAGTGTTATATTCTGGGTTCCCATTTATGACCAACTTATTGTCCCAATTGCTAGGAAGATTACAGGTCACAAGAATGGCTTGACACAACTACAGAGAATGGGTACAGGGCTCTTCATATCCATCTTTGCCATGGTATCTGCCGCTGTTCTAGAGCTCTTTCGGCTAAAGTATGTGAAAAAACATAACTACTATGAACTGGAGCAGGTCCCCATGTCAATATTTTGGCAGGTTCCACAGTATTTCCTTATAGGTTGTGCAGAAGTTTTCACATTCATCGGTCAGTTGGAGTTCTTCTACGATCAAGCACCAGATGCCATGAGAAGTTTGTGTTCGGCTTTATCACTGACTACCGTTGCACTTGGGAATTACTTGAGTTCGCTGCTTGTGACAATTGTCATGAATATTACAACCAAGAATGGGAAACCCGGATGGATACCAGATAACCTGAACTATGGTCACCTTGACTACTTCTATTACCTTTTGGCTGTGCTGAGTGTACTGAATTTGGGAGCTTATCTCATGATAGCGAAGTGGTATACTTACAAAAGGCCAGTGGGAACTCTGCGTTGAAGGTTGAAGTGGCATAACAAAAGTAAGCTTTTTATTTTTGGGTTAAATAGGGTTCAAGAACTTGTAAATATAGTTTGATTGGAATATCATATGTTGTACTCAAACATATTTCTGTAAAACTAGTGCACAGTCACCACTATCCATATGATGTGAAAGACGTCAGTTTCAATATGATCTGTTCTACTTGTAACACCTCCCACTTAAGACTGATAAATATGATCATGTTTAGCGTTTCTTTCTTATTCTTGCTGAAATTCCATCACTCCCTACTCAATGGACTCTTACAAAGGTTCAATCCTTGTTATCTTAATTTGTCTCTATAATAAGGGCATTTTATCTAAGTATTCTTGATTATGCTCGATTAATAAGTGTCAGAATTAATAATCACGGGGCAAGATCAACATTAGCGTACCTGTCAACGCAACGGAAGAATTGTTGAACTCACCACCAAAATAATAGCCCCAAGTCGTATTCTGAATCACAATGAAACAGAGTTTTTTTTCACAAACTAGATGCCTAAAGTTTACTGTGTTCTTCCTTTCTTGTCTAGGTAGAATCTCTGTACTGAAGAGAATATATAGAGAAGAGGAGATGGGGAGAACTATCGATAACCTTCTGTTTCCACGCTGCCACTTCTTTTTAACGTGTGACACTTCCCCTATCCTTATGGGAGTTAATTAACTTCCCTGATAATATTAACTTCCATCAGCCTTATCCCTTATAAGTGGGCTGGTTCAGTCCACATGGGCGACCCGTAACTTAAAACCCAATATCCTACATCTCCCACTTCGCACATGGTGGACTAGATCCAAGCTGGTACCATGGCAATAACACACGTAATTCATACTAGCAAATAGTTCGTGCGACCTGCGAGCATTAAGAGCTACTTTATTCTTACACCCTTTAAGGTTATTTAACAGCTCTATGTAGAAATCCAATCACATGCAGAAGGGATTTACTACTAACATGAGGATCTTGTTACTCGCAATACCCCAGACATCACCTGCTACTCCAGTAGCTAGTTATTTAATCCCTCATCCTCGAAAGAGGTGAACTCGAGTTCATGTTTAACTTTGTATTCATAATTACATTTGATACCCTCATGGTAAGTGTAATGGTCGACCTATGAACACAAGTTAAATTACTAAAAATTTTTTAGTTGTCTTCCCTTTCTACTTGAATCTTTCCATTCCAAATCAACTGCTTTCCTAGACATGCACTGCATTGCCGAATCACTCATGGTTATTAGTGACATGCTAAAGTAGCAACATTGATTGGCACTTCAAGAGACAGTAAAGGTCAAAGGGTATTCTAATAAAAGTTGATATAACTTCTTTGGGATCTCACACAATGAAGGAACAAGGACTCATTCTTCCATTATCCCATTGGTCGATAGCACACGTGGTATGAAACACATGTTACGGTGTTTTCACCTTATATTGGTGCGTGTGTCTTATTCTTTTAATCATTCAACACCGTACAGATCTTGGTCTAGACACCTCCAAATGTCTAACCCATGTTTCTCACTTCAATAATCCTTAAACTATCTCCTTAGAGAAACTTGCACCTGGCTTACAAAACAAGTCATAATTGAATTGTGAAATTCGTGAGTCTGATTAGTTGTCAAGACCGACCTCTATAAGGAAATATAACCTCGCATTATCCAAGGTTCTATAAGGTCTCATCTCTTCACGATTCTTAACGTAAGAGGCGATTGCTCGTGTGAGAGAGCCAATCTTGCGACTTGTTCGATACACTTTATCAACAAAACATTCATCACATACATACCAGATATAAGCATAATTCAAGAGTCAAATATTGATGAGCATATTATAATACTTAAGTCATTTTACAATACATAAATATGTTCATATCCTTCGCAAACCTAGAGCCATAACATGTTTCTCAAACAGATCTCTAGATATCGCCTTTGTAAAAGGATCGGCTATCATGCTTCGCGTAGGAATGTACTGTAAATTTATCTCTCCACTTGCTACTACGTCTCTCACAAAGTTATACTTGATGTCAATGTGTTTGGTCTTGCTGTGATACTTAGGATCTTTTGTATATGCAATAACTGCTTGACTATCACAGTATAGAGTCATGGGACCCTGAGAGTTCTTTGTAATATCCAAATGTTCAAAGAATCTCTTCAACCAAACAACTTCTTGTACTGCAGACGCACAAGCCACGAACTCAGCTTCCATTGTTGAAAGGGTTGTACAGGTTTGTTTCTTACTTTTTCATGATATAGCACCACCATTAAGTAAGAAGGCATAACCAGATGTTGATTTTCTATCATTCGATCACCAACCCAAGCATCTGTATATCCTCTCAAGTATACATCATTTCCACTATAACATAGTGAATAATCTGCAGTTCTCTTCAGGTATCTAAAAATTCTCTTCACAACTTTCCAATGATCTCTTCCAGGATTGGATTGATACCTGCTAACCAGACCTACGGTATAACAAATGTCAGGGCGAGTACACATCATAGCGTACATCAAGCTCCCAACAGCACTTGAATATGGAACTCGAGGCATGTCTTCCTTTTCATTTTCAGTCTTGGGACACATTTCAAGGCTTAAAGTTTCACCTCTCGCTATAGGAGTATCCATGGATTTGCAACCATTCATGCGAAAATGCTCCAAAATTTTCTTTATATAAGTTTCTTGAGATAGGCTCAATAACTTTTTGGAACGGTCTCTTTGGATCTTAACTCCAAGGATATAGTCTGCCTCGCCCATATCTTTCGTGTCAAATGACTTTGAAAGCCATGACTTGATAGTTTTTAAATACTCCAAATTGTTTCCGGCCAATAAAATATCGTCCACATAAAGAGAAAGAATTACAAACATCCCATTGGACTTCTTCACATAAATGCAATGGTCTTCATTGATCATGGTGAAATCATATGAGATCACCTCCTTGTGAAATCTCAAATACCATTGCCTTGAAGATTGCTTCAGGCCATAAATAGATCTTTTCAATTTACAGACCTTCTTTTCTTGGCCTTTAACGATGAAGCCTATAGGTTGTTCCATGTAGATCTCTTTGTTTAGTTCTCCATTGAGAAAAGTTGTCTTCACGTCCATTTGATGTAATTCCAAACCAAACGTGCAACAATAGTCAAAAGTAAGCGAATTGAGGTAAAATTCACAACTGGTGAAAATATTTCCTCATAATCTATTCCAGCTTCTTAAGTAAAGTCTTTTGCCACCAATCGTGCCTTGTATCTTTCTATTGACCCATCCGCTTTGCATTTAACTTTAAGAACCCATTTGTTCCCAATGGCTCTACGCCCAGGTGGAAGGTCAACTAGATCCCAGACTTTGTTGGTTTTCATGGACTCTAATTCTTCTTTCATTGCTTTCTTCCACTCATCTTTTCCAGGGCTCGATAAAGCCTCAATCACAAACTTTGGCTCATCCATTTCTGTGGGAGATACCAAGAAAATATAATCTTCAATTTCATAAGTACGTTTGGGTATATTTTTCCTGGAACTCTTTCGTAGTTGAAATTCAGGTTCGTCAGAAGGATTTCGGTATTGAGAGTTCCCACTCCCACTCGGATCAAGAATAAGATCTTGATCAATATGATTATCAATTGTGTCAGAAGACACTTGCTGACTATCTGAGTTTAACATTTCATAAAGAGACTCTCCATTCTTTACCTCGCCCTTCTTTGGAAAATTATTTTCCAGAAATGTGACATCACGTGATTCAATCTCAGTAACACTTCCATCCTCTAATTCACCAATGAACACATACCCTTTGGAGTGTTCTGAATATCTTATAAAGATACATTTTTTGCCTTTTGGACCTAATTTACCAAACTTACTAAAGGAATCTTTTACATATGCAGCACAACCCCAAGGTCGCAAATCTTTTAAATTTGGTTTATGATCAGTCCATAGCTCATAAGGAGTGGAAGAAACTGATTTAAAAGGCACTTTGTTCAATATGTAGGTTGCAGTCAATAACGCATCTCCCCAAAAGGAGATAGGTAAATTTGCCTGCGCCATCATGGACCTTATCATGTCTAGTAGTGTTCTATTCCTCCTTTCTGATACACCATTTTGTTGAGGTGTGTACGGAATAGTTAACTGTCTGGTGATTCCCTTTTCATTGCACAATCCTTCAAATTCTTTTGAAAGATATTCACGCCCTCTATCGATTCTTAAGGTCTTAATTCTTTTGTCTAATTGATTCTCAACTTCATTCACATATTTCATAAAACATTCAAGTGCTTTAGATTTATGAGAGATCCGATAGACATAACCAAAGCGTGTGAAATCATCAATAAACGTAATGAAATATAAAGCACCAGACCTTGCCCTCACATTCATTGGACCACAGATATCAAAATGGATTAATTGCAATGGAAAATCAGCTCTCTTGGCCTTTCCAAATGGTTTACGTGTAATCTTTCCGGCAAGACAATTTTCACAAGTTGCCATTTCAATTTTAGAGAAAGGACCTAGATGTCCTTCCTTAGCCAATCTATTCATTCGATCCTGCCCTATGTGACCTAATCTTGCATGCCATGTAATAACATCAACATCATTGTTACTAGAACAACATGCCATAACACAACGGTCAACATAATAGTTATACGTAGAAGGATTACAATCTAACACAATAAAACCATTATAACGATGTCCAAAATCATAAAAAACATTGTCTTGAGTAATTCTAAGACCATTGCGACTAAAGTTCAAATTGAAATCTAAATCTAGAAGGACAGACACAGATACTAAGTTTCGTCGAATCTCTGGAACATATAAGACGCCATGCAACATCAAAGATCGGCCACCACGCATGTCCATTCTGCAAGTGCCTATCCCTTTGACTTCAAGCTTTGCATTATTTCCCACATATACAAGCTTTGATCCAGGTGGAACTCGACGAAACTCTATAAACGCTTCTCTATCGCGGCTCACATGGTCAGTGGCCCCCGAGTCTACAATCCACACTGGATAAGATTCAGTTAGTAAAACAATGCTAGAAACATATATAGCACTAAGAGATGCGCTTTGAAATGCTACATTTTTCGGCTTAGTGCACTCACGAGCAAAATGCCCTGGGACTTGGCAATTGTAACACTTCATCTTGCTCTTGTCTTTCTTCTTGTAGAACCGTTTTCCTTTCTTGGAATTTGGCTTGTTTCTTTTCTTGGAGGGTCCTTCTCCGGTCTCCTTACCCTTTCCGTCATTTTTTCAGTTTCTCTTGCGCTTGAAG